AGTGGTTTTCATTCACTGGTCCCTGTCCAGTGGTGCTCACGCAGTTGCCCTTGCACAGTGGCCCCTTCCCAGGAAAGCTCCTGGGTCCAAGGGGACTCAACAAGACAAAGTCAAATTCCCACCAACCCACTCGCCTCTGGCTGGTCTGCAGTGTCCACAAAAGTTCAGCCAAATTATCACTGGTCCGCTTGTTCCTGGGCAGTTGGTGTGCCCCCAGAGAGCTCGGCCAAATTCCCACCAGTGGGCTCACCCTTGGGAATTCTCCCAGACAATCGGCGGTGCCCCAGAAAACCCAATTAGGATCCTCCCAGCCTTTCTCATAGCAGAGCAGTCCCACAACAGCTTGATTGGTGGCTTCAGACGATGACTAGCTCTGTGGTGTGCCTTTGTGTGCTGACTCAGAATTGTACTTTCCACAGCTGTTGGTGTGCATGGCCCTGGAGCACCGCCAGGGGGTGCAGGGTTGTGGTGAAGCCACCGGGTGTGCCAGAAGTGTGGGGGCACGGGATGGTGGTGGGGTGGTGTCCCTGGACACTGTGCTGTGGCAGGGATGGGGGTACAGGGCTTGGGCAGCGCTGGGAGTTAGGGGTTGCAGTCTTTTCCCAGATATTAAGCTGCCAGTCCTCAGCAAATAAGTCTTGCACACCTTGTGTGCCGCGTCGCCCTCCTTGTGCACTTCCAAATTGCATATTCTTAATTATTTTGTGAAATTGAAATTTGAATTCAAAGAAATATTTACCAGAGCTGCGTCTATATTATTTCAGCAGTCTGACTTTAAGTTATCAAGAGTATCTGACATTTTTAAGAAGCTGAGTTAGTAAGAATGTTGTTCAGTAAAAGCAGTCTCTCAGACTTTGTTTTTGCTACCCCTGTTCAATTTTATTTTATCTATTTGTGTGTGTATCTCTCCATTTATTTACTTTTTATTTTTATTTTAAAGGAAAATCTAAGTGTCATACTGGAGGGAAATCGAAGAGAACAGTTCAAGGCACTCATAAAACTCCAAAACAGGTATAGCATATACTTAACAACTTTAAATTTCTATTTCTGAATATATTGTAAGTCATAGTATATTGTGGTCTTTAAGGGTTTCAATTTTACATACTTAATGTAATATTTTTTATCTATAGATGTGGAGATGGTATTTAGCATCTAGCTTATTCTACGTATTTTACAATTAGTAATTCACTTGGTTATAATTTAGAAAGGCTTTTACATAGCCATTTTGAAAAAAATTATTATTAAATTTTATTAGTTTTAGTGAACATTTACAGAGATTTTGGGTTTTCATTCATTCATTGTTGCACTGTTTTCTCTACCCTCCTCCCCAGTTCGTTCTTCTTCCCCCTCCCCACGAATGTCTGTTTTAATTGTCCAATTGCCACAGTGCTTGTCAAAGCCAGTTCT